TATTTTATAGAGCTTAAAAGAGAAATTTGACATGCTCAAAGAATTAAATTGATCGGACAAGTGTACTACAGATTATGGGTCAAGGTCTCATCCTTTATGTATTATACTGTATGTCCAGCACGGTCTGCACTTAAACATGCAAAACCTATACATACATATCTCTCTTATTTTTATTTTTTAATAACATTGTCCTTTCTGTTTTGAACATTAAATACATAATATTGTACACTTTTCCTTTAATAAATGCATATTGCGAGTAATATACTAGAGAAAAAAAAATATTTTTCCATTACATTTAGCAATCCAAAGATCAAAACTTTCCTATCACTGAATTAAAACTTAAACGGTGTACTTCATGATTTTAATGACAGCAGCAGAAAGTTGACAAGGGCTAATAGTGGTCTTGAACTATACAAGGTTTTGTAATTGTACGGTGTTCAACTGACTTTTGTTTCATCCAGTATACTAAATAATATTCAAGGCTGGTTAAAAAAAAAAAGGCAGAGAAGCATTGTTATACAGTATAATAACAGAAGGTGGAAATCCAAAAAGTAGTATCTCAGAGCTCACATGTTTTTTGCTCTGAAAAGACAAACCGTAACAGCATTTATTCAGTAAAAACTGCTAGACATCACAGACAGTGGTCTGCCTCTACTGACAGAAGGATTTTCAGGGTGATGCAGAAGCATAATGAAGGAAACACAAGTGTCACAGAGGTTCAGAGTGCACACTAGGAGTCAGACACAAGAAACTTGGGAGTACTTGAAGGCACAAAGGTGATGATACAGAGAGCTCTGCAATGCACTTGGAGGCAGTGGGATGAAAAGGGCACAGCAGAGTCGCTAGATGACACAAGATATTCTGGGGTGCACAGGAGACTTGATGTATACAGAGGCACAGATGAGTCATTGGATGACCCTGAATTCTCGTAGGTACATGGAACATGCAAGGTCATTGAGGTCGCTAAATGACACTGGATTCTCAAGGGTGCAGTGGAGTCACAGAGTGCACAGAAATCCCTATATGACACTGGATGCTTTGGGGTGTGTGGAGTCACAGGGGACAGGAGAACACTGGGTTCACTAGATTACACTGGATGCTCAGGAGTGCATTGTAATTGTGGAGCACACAGGTGTCGGATGTCAGGAAGAGAAGTGTTTGGGTGTTGGTAAGGAGGAGGACATTGGTGGGGACTTTGGGGGCTAACCTTTCCACAATACAGGAGGAAAATCTGGGGCATCTACTGCTACATTCTCAGAGGGAGCCCAAAATTCTCCACTCTGGATAGATGGTACAAAGAAACTCTTTTTTGCATTTCACAATGGTGGATGGGTCTCCTACACTGTAAGCACAGTTGCAAGGGGAAAAACAACAGCCACAGTGGTCTTTTGACTTACACATGTTGCTGTCACTGAGAAAGCTTCCATTTGTTGGCAGCACATAATGGCATATTTGTGCAGTAAAGTTGTGTGCACCAAAGCACCACATATATACCCCTCATATTGCCATAGCTGCCATTAAATAAGTGTTATTTTGTTTTACAGATATATCTTTTTTCTTTTTTTTGTAATGCCATCCCTACTCTGATGAAGCAAGCATTGGACAAAAGACAACAATGCATACTAAGACATCAATGTAAAGTAGTTATCCAGTGTTAAATCATATTTATATTGCAAACTGTTGGCGCTATATAAATCCTGTATAACAATCCAGTGTTGAATCATAAAAGAATATTGTTAAGTGATCAATAAAAATTTTAAAGTGGATTATTTAAGGGCAGCTAATTAAGACAAAGGAATAAAAGGTTGGCTGAAGTGAAAACTGCTCAACATGGACGTATCAGATGAATGTTCTGAAACATTCTATACTCCATTGCCTTGCAGCACACTAAGCATATAGATAATTCAGAAAGAATTCCACAGAGAATACCACCTTGTAGATAAGAGTAAAAGGAGGATTGCCTCTTTTGGGTTAAAAAATGTCAGTTTCTGAAAATCAGATTGTCACAGAAAAAAAAATAGTGAACCGTCTGTGGCATCTGCACTTTGGATAGGGGAAAAAGCCCTAAAAACAGCACAGAGTTTAAGCATGCACAACAGATTGTCTCCTGACACCCTTCAAGTAATAGAGTAATGGACTTCATTGGTAGTTGTACCAAATTGCAGACACACATGTGTAGATTGCAGCTGACCAGGAATAGATCCAATTTTTCTCTGAAAAGTTAGATAGTGGACCCTCTGGGGTTTATTTGCTAAGCTGGTTCACTCAGAATCTGGTGCACCTGTGCAAGGTAGCCAATCAGCTTCTAACCTCAGCTTGTTCAATTAAGCTTTAGCAATAAAACCTGGTAGCTGATTGGTTTCTGTGCAGAAGTGCATGAGAGCGAACCAGCTTTAGTAAATAAACCCCTCTGTGTCTATCTTAGATTGTAAGCTCCAAGGAGCAGGGCCCTCCTATCCCTATTATATTGTATTGAACTGTATTGTTGCCTTATTGTCTCCCGTTATATTGTAAAGCGCTGAGCAAACTGTTGGCGCTATATAAATCCTGTATAATAATAATAATAATCTGCATGTTGGAGAGGGTGTGAGCCCTTGAAGGATATGTTCACCTTAAAAAAAGTGTAAATGCACATGTTTTTGCAGGGGAAAAAAATGTGCATTTATTATTTATTTTTCACAAGGCCTGAAGAGCCTGTGGATCGTGGTGCCAGGCTCCTGTAGACTCTTACATCAGCATTCATGTACTTGTACCTCTTACGTGCTTTCTGTTAGAAAGCTGGAGGAAGTGTGAATGAACTATGATGGCACTCATTACTGCCCTTAAAGTTCATTGAGAATTAGAAGCCATCTGTTGTGGTGGCAAGCGGGACTTGTAGTTCTTCATTCACAGATCTCTATGGATGAATGGTGCGGCTCTGCAGGCAGATTTTAAAATGTGACAATGGCTGCGGGGGGAGAATACATGCTTTTGCTAGGGGCATTACTAGATGAAGCCCAGCGTACATTCCCTGGGCCTTTAGCTTTGAGCCCTGGATGTTCTCTTACAGTTTTTTAATGCAAAAAAAGTTGCCAGTTTTTGCCTTTAACTGGTAAGTTGTAACATTCCCTAATATTTAATTCTGAGAGACAATTGCTTTCAGAATATTCAACCAGAAGCATTAAAGAACATTTGAGAATATAGCTTTAAGTGTTACTAAACCCATGACCCTGCATTCACTATATTTGGTCTCCCACAGTACACAGAACATGGAAATGCAATTATTTTAGTAAGTATAAAACTGCTAAATACCTTTTCTCATCAGTAATATATAGCAGTCTTGTGACTTCTATCAGTATCCAGCAGAGCACTGGTTACAGCTTGTAGAAGGAGTTTTAATTCTCCTTTAGGAGGATGCAGGACCCCTAACCTCTGTCTGGACAACACTGTTTGATCCTGTGCTGATCACATGCACTCCCCCCCCCCCCCCAAAAAAAAAAAAAAAAACTAGCAATACACACCAAACTGAGCATGTGCAGCTTGCCCTCAATCCTCTGTTCTATCAGGAGATATTTAGGAGACACTGTAAATAGGGGAGGATCAGAGAAGACAGGATCAAACAGCCTTTGTACACAACGTGGAGGATTAACCCCTTAGCTTCTGCAGTGAGTGTAACAAGCATGTTTTACTGCATATACAGACTGATTTTACTGTCGTGGGTTTAGTAACACTTTACTACTATAGGGAAACCTTTCCACTGTTGATTGGATCTCCATGTTGAATGGATTCCCGTGTTAGGGATGAGCTGCAGATTTGCCTGTTTGGGAGGGTAAGCAAACAGCCAAACTAATGGGTGTTCAGTCAGGTAAACCTCTAGCTGCATGGAGAAGTGACACATTTAGCAGTGATGTTAGTATCACTGTCAAATGTGAAAACTTCCTGCTCAAGTTTACTAGTTATTGGGAAGCTGGCACCAGCCAGGTGAATGTAAACAAAGTGGAAATAGTGTATAGTATGGATTTTAAGGGGAACTTCATGAAGAAAACAAAAAGAGGTATGAGGTTCCCCTTAAAATTTACACAAACCCTTTGGGTCTGGCATGAACCCAAACATAACAACAAAAAAAATTGTGTGCCCCCCCCCCCCCCTAAAATCAGTGCAAGACCCTTATCTGAACACACAGCCTAGCTGGCTAGGAAAGGGGGGAAGATGAGTGTATGCCCACCCTCTAAACTATAAAAGGCCATATTGGAGAGTTTGCTGGAGATGTCTGGGATGCTGCCCTGGAATCTGTTCTGGGAATTACTCTTTCTCCCTCTCAGAAATTGACTATTGTTTATTCTCCATCGAGCATATAGGACCCCTGTGCAACTGTATCGATGGGGCAGGCGGGATACACCTGACTGTCTGAGGTGTAGGGTCGAACAGGGTGATTTCATTCAAATGCTCTGGCGATGCCCCAAGTTACATAGATATTGGAGTGAGGTTCTCCAATTTATTTCTCTATTATTGTAATATACTGTTCCCCAGGATCCCTTGCATTGTCTGTTGGAGGCACTGGACCAAGAACTGTTCCAACCAGGAGGGTATATTATGGTATCTAGACATTTATATCTGGCTAGGAAGTTGAAAACAAGGTACTGGTTATCATCAGCTCCTCTGACTAGTAAGCAATGAATAGATTATGTTAATTCTTTACTCCCACAGGAGAAACTCACGTACCAACATTGCAATGCTTATTGTAAGTTCCAGCAGGTATGGAAGGGTTGGCTGGATACATCTGGGCTCACCCCTCTTCAATTGGTAGTGGCCGAATTCTTCAGGTGTGATATTTTATATCAGGTGTCTGGCTCCACTCCTGCTCCTGGGGGAGTTCATGTGCATCTTCTATTCTTTTTGATGAGACATCTCGGGTGAACCAGAGGTTGTTGCTGATGTGGTTTTTTTTTTTATTGTTTGAAGACATGTTTTGGGCTTTGTTCCTTTCCCCCATTTCTGTTTACATCTGGTCGGGAAGGAAAAAAGATGTAAAAAGGAAAAAGCAAGATGTTGTCAAGAAAGTTTTGGATCCTTGTGGTCTCTGTGTTGTTTGATTACCATTTCTATTATTCTGTTTATTACGGGACAGGGACGGACTGACCATTTGGGAACTCGGGCATTGCCCGAGGGCCTGGGGTCAGTAGGGGGCCCCATGAGATGCCCCTGGTACCTTTAATAGGCTTTTTTGGGTGTGGTTTGAGTGTGGGCAAGGACATGGGGCCCCATGATCTCCTATTGTCCGGGGGCCCATGAGTTGTCAGCCCACCCCTGTTACGGGATCTGCGTATCCACGTTGTTCCCTTTATGTGTAATCCTGCTGTTGCAGCAATGTCATTGTGGATTCTGTAAGTACTGTTCCATTTTCTCTATTATCTTGACAATAAAAGTTGCTTGGATTAAAAAAAACAAAAAAAAAAAAAAAACAAAACATAACAGGCCACATGCTCTCAATAGAGGTCCTCTTGACAAGGCATCTTGTCCCCATGTTAATGAGGACAAGGGCCTATTTCCCCACAACACTGGACCTGTTGCTGTGAGGGTTTGTAGGCAGGGGGATTATAGGAATCTGGAAGCACCCTTGAACAAAGCAGAATACCCATCAGCCATATCCATTCTAGCACATGTGCGCCAAGCAGGCTATTCAAACAGCACAAAAACCCTGGGACTTTGCCTTATGGTCTACAGCGTTTTGCTATCTGCTACCTGTTCCTGTGTATGATCTCCTGATGTTGTCTTAATCTGTCTGACCATGTTTGAACTGCACCTGAACTTGGCTCATCTTTGACTCTGTCTCTGCTTGCCCCTTTTGCCTGACTGCTTTATTGATGCCAACTCTGGTCTGAACCTTCTGTTTGCTGCTCCGGTCCTGACATTCCTGTTAGTTGCTGACCGAACTTACCTGACCCTGTTTTGTCCTGCTGATGATAGGCTGCAGAAGTGTGGGCAGCTGTCAAGTGCCTGCTGTCTGTGACCCACCAGCCTGCCTGAGTGCCTGCGGTCTGTCTTCTGGCTGCCATCTGCCAGCCTGTCTTCCCTGCTGCTCTGCATTATGACCCAGCCTGCATCCAAGGAATACAGACTACTCATCTGCAGTTGTTACTATAAGAACTACTAGACACTTGTGCCACTCCAGGCTCTCATACCTCCCGTTACCTGACCAAGGGTCCTGAGCTAGAGGTGTAAGAGAATGTTCTCCACATCAGGCTCCATCACCAAGTACTTGACAGATACTGCCCTCCTTCCCTAGGTGAATGAGTAAGGTGTACAGCCAGAAGCCCCGAGCAGGAAGCCCATACATTTACCAGTACTAATAATACCGCTGCTATACGTGTAATTTCCCACTGCAGCTGGAGGTTCACTTAGGCGAACACCTATTAGTTTGTCTGTTTGCAGAACCTCCTAAACCTCAATTTACCCCTAACACAGAAAACTCCATTCACTTTGTACACAGTGCAGAGGCTTCATATTATTTCCCCTTCTAGTCGAAAAATTAGCCTATAGTGTTAGGTTATTTTTCCATTGGTCAAATGTTCTTTAACTTTTCTGATAAAATGTTCCTAACACATTACAAATATTGTATTATTTGTGACTTATGTGTGAATGCCGAGACATGTGCAAAGCAAACTTTTATACATAAATCCCATAGTGTGGTTTTATCAAATTTAACTGCAAAAGTGGAGTTTGTTGGAGGGTGGGGCTAAGCTATTTTTGGCAATATTGTTTTGGAAAAAAATATTTTATTTTCTACACAGTTTACAAAAATGTAAAAAAATGAAAGAACATTTTATTTCATGTTTTAACTAGTATTACATATTTTAAAAAAATTATTATTATTATAAATAAAAAAGTGTACATTTTCTTCTAAAATTTGTCTCACCTTAAATGATACCAAAATTATTTTTATGGTACTAAGTATAACCCAGAAAAAATACATTTTCTTTAATTTCTGTGTATTTTCTTGTTATAAGACACAAAAAAGGAACAAATGAAACCAATGAAAAAAATTGTAATGTAATAAAAAATAAATAAATCAGCTGACAAATAATAGCTAAGGGGAGAAGAAGAGGAAGTTAAGGGAGTTAAAGCATGTCTAAAGCATGTCTACAGCATAACTTACCAACTCTTAGATGTGGTGGCTGCATTAGTTTCCTTTTTTTGACTTTTTTCCTTTACTTTCACCTAGTAATCCAACCAGTAATACACTACCTGTCCAAGGCTAGCTCCACTCTCTAAATGAGTAACAGAACCAGCCTTGGTCAGCAACATTTTCAAACTGTGGGGCACTAGAAAATTTAGATGGCCTTAACTAACAAATTAAAGAAGAATTCCAAGTGTTTTTAACCGCTTCCTGACCACCCTATAGCAGATATACTGCTACAGGGTGGCAGGGGTGCACAAAATCACTTGTATATATACGTGATTTTGTGTTTCCGGGTAGGGGGCTGGGCTGTCAATTACCTAGTGATTACCGAACATCTCTGATAGGGAGGAAGACTTCTTTGTTTACTAACAGTCCTCCTCCCTGTCAGCTCGGGCACACTGCTCTGGATAGCTGTGCACAGCACAGCCATCTAGAGCAGTGTGCTTAAAAAAAGTGAAGTCCACACACACTGCCCCCTATGTAAAACATTCCCTGCACACAGTTAACTCTTTGATCACCCCTCATGTTAACCCCTTTCTGCCCAGTGCCATTAGTACAGTGTCATTGCTTTTTTTTTCACTATATTAGTGTCACTGGAGATGTAAAAAAAAACAAAATCCCAGTATATATACCGCCATTTGTAAACGCTATAACTTTCACATAAACCAATTAATTTACCCGTATTGGAATTTTTTTTTAGCAAAGACATGTAGCAGAATACATTTTGGCATAAATTTATGATGAAATTAGGTTTTTTACATTTTTTTACTGGACATGTTTAATAGCAAAAAGTCAAAAATATAGTTTTTTTCTCAAAATTGTCGGTCTTTTTTTTATAGCGCAAAAAATAAAATATACACAGGCGATCACATACTACTGAAAGAAAGCTCAATTTGTGGGAAAAAAAAGGATGTACCTTTCATTTGGGTGCAGTGTTGCATGACCGCGCAATTTTCAGTTAAAATAACGCAGCACCGTAACGCAAAAAATGGCCTGGTTAGGAAGGGGGGTAAATCCTCAGGAGGGCAAGTGGTTAAACAGTTACAACAAGAGGTTTTATTATTATTATTATTATTTTGGTAAAGAAGGTTTTGCATAAATAAATCAATGGTAACCAATGTGAGCACCCTAGTGAGTATCCAGTGGTTTGTCTTAGCAATGTAGAGGTTTAGAAGTAACAAGCAAAGAGAAAAATTTTGCATACAATCTCACAATGTATCTATTCAATGGTGTACATATCATAGTAGACACCTGAGGTGGAGCTTTAACACCCCCCTCCTCTATACATGAAAATTATTTTTGATAATAATCATAACATCAAAAGAATATTATTATTGGTCAGATAAGAAAAAGGGACAGTGTGACAGTGGTCATTTAGAAAGTGGTGTCTTGAGGGTCTTGGCTATCGCTCAAGGCTGATGAATGCCTAGATCCTGACTGAAAGCGGAGGATCATAGTTACTAGTGACTGCTCCAACCATTGGTCCAACTCGAAAACACAGCGATCTGACTCTCCAGTATTGTGGTGACATGTTCCACAAAAGAAAAGAAGACCCCCACCCAAGTCAACTCACAACCGTCTTTCATCAGGCCTTAAGCCTTAATGGGAAACAGGCAAGATGGTGCTGGACCTTCCATCTCTCCACGAGGTAGCTGACAGATTCCACCAGCGGCTCTTCTATCCGTGGACACCCCCCCCCACATTTCACCCTCTCTTGTGCCCTCTACTCCTATAACTGGAAGCCCTGCTAAATCCAAGCTCAGACTAGAGGATCAGAATAATTCACTGGGTGAGTTCTCCTATACTCCGAACTCTATGGATAACACCAGGGAGCTTCCTGACACTATTAGCTAATTTCCAACAAATAATCAACCTGTATTGGACACCACTTATGTGCTATTGTCACTCAGGAGTACTATTAATGCTGATATCATGACCTCTCGAGCAGGGGTCAGTAGGGGGGGCCCCATGAGATGCCCCTGGTACCTTTTTCATAGGCTTTTTTGAGTTTGGGCAAGGACACAGGGGTCCCATGATCCCCTATTGCCCAGGGGCCCCATGAGTTGTCAGTCCGCCCCTGCTCTCGTGGCAATTTACTGAGGAAGTGCAAGCCATAGGATCAAGGGTAGATCATATTGAGAATAAAATGGATGAATTTGCTCACTCTGTCAATGATTTAGTTGATGCCCATGATGAAAATGCTGATGAACACGTCTGGATCAAAGCTAAGTTAGCTAATCTAGAAGACAGATCAAGGAGCTATGATCTTCAGAGGGATTCCTGAAACCATACAGCAACCTGATCCTCGTCAATATGCAGCTGATCTTTTCAAATCCCTGCTTCCTGATATATCTGATTCTGAAATGATTATCGATAGAATTTATCACTTACCAAAACCATTTTTTATTCCTGAACAAGTGCCCAGTGATGTCTTGCTACACTTGCATTTTTTTCATGTAAAGGAGCAAATAATGACCAAAATTCTCATTGCTGGTCCTTTGCCCTCTCTGTACACAAATCAGATTTTTCACAATATACAATTCAGCTGTGGAAGAAACTCAATACTATCACAAAAGCATTGAGAAACCAAAAAAATCACTTACAGATGGGGCAATCCAACCAAGCTGCTTGTGTATAAGGATGGTGACATGATTCCATCTCTCCTACTAAGAGAAATTGTGCTGCAATTTGGCTTACTCCTGAATGGCAACAAGTGCCATCATCAGCCTCAAATGTAACCGGAATATCCTTTCTTGACCAAGTGGATTTGGTTGTTAGTTATCTGCCTCCTTTGTTCTACACGGGTCTCTTGCTAGTAGACTTTACTCACTATCACTTTCAGCAGTATCATACTGTACACAGGTCATAGAACCATTCTTCTAGTCTAATGGTTGTTTTTTGTTTTTGTGCTTATATGTTTGTTTGTTTTTTCCTTGAGCCGGAGTGCCCAGCAGCATCTTGAAATCATTACTTACTCCCAGTGACTGATAACATCAAAATACCTGTTTGGAACTGTCACTTTGCCTATATTATCTATCCTCTGGACTGCCGGCCACATATCACTATCATGTCCATTAAATTCTTATCTGTAAATGCCAGAGGGCTCAATCACGGCTAAACTTCCCTCTCTCTGGAAGGAAGCTCCTAAATATAACTCTGATATACTGTATGTACAGGAAACACACTTCCACTGACTGTTACCTCCTAAATGCTCACATACCAGATTTCCAAATATATTTTCTGCCGAATATATTAGCCAAAAAGAGAGGAGTATTGATTGCAATTAGAGATGTCATTGCTTTTCCGACTCATTGACTCTGTTGTAGATCCAGCTGGTCGATTATTTTGGTATGCGTCTTGAATGCTATCAGATACACCATAGTCAGCCTGTATACTCCAAATACTCATCCAGTTCATTTCAAGCACAGACTGATGCGTAAAGTTGGGAAGGTTAGACCAGGCTCTCTAATACGGCTCTCTAATACTATGTGGGGAATTCAACACACTTCTGGATCTCACTGTGGATTCCATGACCACACCTAAATGACGCCTGGCTTCTTTACAGACATTTCTACACTCTCTTGATCTTTATGATGCATGGTGTTGTCACCACTTATCCAAAGGAGACTGCTTTTTTTCTCAGCCTCGCATAATTCCTACTCAAGGATAGATTTATTTTTAGTTGATAGGTGGCTTTTGCAGAAGGACTCTTCTATCAACAATATCTTATGGTCATACCATGCATCAATATCCCTATATGTTGTAGACTCCTTGGCACCATGAACCACCATGATCCACCTTTCTTTGGAGATCCAATCAAAATCTGATGCAGGTCTCAAGATACCAAAGAAGTCTTGGGGAGAAATTTATCAGAATTCTTTCAGCTAAATAATGGTTCTGTTTCGGACCCATTTGTGTTGCAGAATGCACATAAATATTTTATATGTGGTATTTTTATCCAAATTGGGTCCAGGGTTAAGAGAAGTTGGCAGCAGCAGCACATAGATCATCCTCTCTTAGAGATACGTAATCAGGAAACACAAAAAAAATCTAAGCCAGACCTCACTTTAAACTCTCAGCTTACTAAACTGAAAGCAGAACTTCGTACCTTTCTGTTAGCAAAATGTGAAAGAAATATTAGACATCTGAAAATGGTATTTTTATACTTCTGAGAATAGGGCAGGCAAACTATTAGCTAGACGTCTACAAGGCCACAGAGGTAAAACCAAAATCCCATATGCACATCATCCTGTAAATGGTCAAAAAGTGTTTATTCCACAAGCAATTGCTTATGCATTTAACTGTTACTATAGCTCTTTATACGATTTACAGGAAGATCCCTCAGTACCACAACTATCTACAACAGAAATAGATCACATTTTTAAAAGTGGTAAACCTACCTAAACTGTCTGAACCCCAGCTGGCAAGATTAAATTTACCCTTTACCCTACCAGAAATCTTTAAAGCTATTGATTCTCTTTCTAGTAATAAATCTCCAGGCCCTGATGGATTTGTAGGGGAATATTATAAACCTTTAAAAATGTCTTGGCCCTTATCTAGCAACAATTTACAACTCTGCATGGCCTGCTCTTCCTTTCCACAGGAAATGGTTAAGGCTTTTATTATAACCTTGCCTAAACCAGATAAGACTCCCGACACTCCTCAAAACTTCAGGCCTATTTTGCTATTGAAACTAAAAATTCTTCCTGCGCCTAGTGAAACACTCTACTACAGGTTCTATCCTGCTGCTGTGCACTGTGATCAACACAAATAATGAAAAAATAAAGAAAAACAGCGCAAACATAGACCTCTAAATAAAATCAATATACAAAGTGCAAACATAAATGAAAAAATTAATCAATAGTGAAGTCCATCAAGATAAACCAAAGTTCAAAAAATATCAAAAAATATTTGTGCAAAAAGAAATATTTTTCAAATTCTTCTTCTTTATTATAAAGGAACTTCCACCTTCCACCCGTGAAAACCAATATCAAATGCACTCACCACATATAGGTGAATAAAACGCCTCTTAGGAATTTATGGGATCCTAAACCCTCTTTCGTATCCACTCTATAGGAATCCTCCTCTCCAGCATAGGCTCCACCATCAGATATAGGTGAATAAAACGCCTCTTAGGAATTTATGGGATCCTAAACCCTCTTTCGTATCCACTCTATAGGAATCCTCCTCTCCAGCATAGGCTCCACCATCCGACCAGGGAAAAAAAATCTCAGATAGTGTAATATTGTAAGACACCATTCATAAGTGAAATCAAGGATTAAGGCCACTCACATTAAATTCACTTTAAAAAGGCATATTTATTAGGACCAGCTTCTTTCAGATGAACAGTAGATGCAAGGCAACCTCCCACGGAATCTCACATCACAGCTCCAGGTTACAGCAGAAGCTCTACAGAGACACCGCATATACAGATCCCAAAAAGATGGCCGCTGGAACGCACCGCTCAGCGTGCGCTCCACTCACCGGAAGTGACGTCAGACGTACGGAATAGAAACCGGAAATGCGTCAAACGCGTTTCGCCCCTCCCATCGGGCGTTCTCAAGACGTTCATTTCCTGTCTGAAGCTCCCTTATATACCCAGCAGGGACCCACCCCTCCGTTCCAATTGGTCAAAACCCTCCCCGGGATTATCAAAAAAACCACTCCTCCTGTAATGTGACGTGAGAGTCCTTTACAAATGAGGTATATGCCTACACAATTAGAAATCCTTTTTCAAGTTATTCCCAACACTGTTGAATTATCTCCCAGAAGCGACATGTATATTACCACATGTCTCCAGTGGGAAAAACACGAACAAAGTATTAAACAATGCCTCACTATTACAATCTATCTCGCAGAATGAAACAAAATGGATCTTTCAATTGGGATCTTTGTACCCTAAAGGGTTGAATTCGGACATAGACATTAATTGTTTTTTGTCTAATTGGTAAGAGCACAGACAATTTCTATTATAAATTCCTCAGGTGTCTTATTAAAAGTTTTTTTATATATTTTAATGCAATTTTATTTTGCATTATTATATATATTTTATTTTTAATTTTATTATTTTTATTTTAATTTTATATTTATTTTTTTTTAATTTTAATTTTATTTTTATTTTTTTATTATTATTATTTTTATTTTTATTTTTATTTATATTTTTTTATTTTTTTTTTTTTATTTTTATTTTTATTTTTATAATTTTTATTTTCATTTTTATTTCTATTTTTATTTCACACATTATTTTCATTTTTTATTTTATTTTTTTATTTTCATTTTCATTTTTATTTTTATTTTTCATTTTTATTTTTATTTTTATTTTTTATTTTTTATTTATTTTTATTTTATTTTTCATTTTAAATAAAAAATTTTACATTTTATTGCTATTTAGTAGTGATGTTATTCATTGCTCATATATTAAAGAAAGTTTTTGTAATAGTGAGGCATTGTTTAATACTTTGTTCGTGTTTTTCCCACTGGGGACATGTGGTAATATACATGTCGCTTCTGGGAGATAATTCAACAGTGTTGGGAATAACTTGAAAAAGGATTTCTAATTGTGTAGGCATATACCTCATTTGTAAAGGACTCTCACGTCACATTACAGGAGGAGTGGTTTTTTTGATAATCCCGGGGAGGGTTTTGACCAATTGGAACGGAGGGGTGGGTCCCTGCTGGGTATATAAGGGAGCTTCAGACAGGAAATGAACGTCTTGAAAACGCCCGATGGGAGGGGCGAAACGCGTTGACGCATTTCCGGTTTCTATTCCGTACGTCTGACGTCACTTCCGGTGAGTGGAGCGCACGCTGAGCGGGTGCGTTCCAGCGGCCATCTTTTGGGATCTGTATATGCGGTGTCTCTGTAGAGCTTCTGCTGTAACCTGGAGCTGTGATGTGAGATTCCGTGGGAGGTTGCCTTGCATCTACTGTTCATCTGAAAGAAGCTGGTCCTAATAAATATGCCTTTTTGAAGTGAATTTAATGTGAGTGGCCTTAATCCTTGATTTCACTTATGAATGGTGTCTTACAATATTACACTATCTGAGATTTTTTTCTCCCTGGTCGGATGGTGGAGCCTATGCT